CAACGGCGGGTGTCGAGGATTTGGAATTATCGGATTTTTTTTAGGTTGCGAGGCTTTGATTGATGGGAGATGTTAGAAAGTATTGTTTTTTAGGATGATTCATGGTATTATTATTGAGCGAGTTATTTATGAACGATGAATTATCCACGCTAGGAATTTTACCAAATGTAAAATTTAATTTTGTGCGATTTTGGAAAGTTTAAACGATTTCCATTATTTATTTATTCAAATTAGGTTTTATCAACCATTATTAGCACATTCCTCAATTCTCTTTAATCATTGAAAAGAACTATTTATTTGTGAGGAACAAACGAAATTGAATTTGATTGTAAAAGATTAGAAAGTTTTATTTTTGAAGAGCGTTCATAAAATTATTAATAGTATGCAATTTCAAAGATTACAAACTTTTTTCATGAATTATGTATAAATAAATAATTGTCCACTGTATGCATATCACCAGAGATCAATTTTATGCCAAAAGTATAAGATTCCCCAAAGTTTAAACAATTTTCGTTATTTATTTATACAAGAGAATGGCTTTGTTCATAATTTTTTAAAATCCCCCCCACAAATTTCACCAAAAATCAATATTATCCCAAATGTACAAAATTGGAGAGAATGTCTAAAAAAATAATTCTTCATTTCATTAAAAACAATGTTAATTTCCGTCAAACGACAAATTCGACGATAGAAAATCTCAAAATCGATGTCTTTCATCATTAAAAATGTTATCCACATAAATTACTCGAATAACCCCCCTAAATTTGATTAATCACTCCACCCAGAATGCCTCCCAATCCCCGAAAATACTAGAAAGTTATCGTAGACCAATTTGAAAAAGATTTACCCGTCCCCGATCGTTTCCCAAAAACCATGATTTTTTCCTCACCGCGGACCACACAGTGGGAAGCTACCTGACCCTATCGTTCGGATCGCGACCATAAAAATTAAACGTCGCCAGATAAATAAACGTCAATCGGGAATTAAGATAGGCGTCGTCACCGGTAGCTTAAATATACTATCCTCCCGTTGCCTCGGGTGTGTTAAACTTTTTGAAATGAAACGTGAAAGCCACCAACGAAAAAAAAAAGCCAACGCCACAGAACCAACGAAGAAACGTATGAAGAAAGAAACGAAGAAACGAGTTTTAATTTAAATGGAATTTTCTTTTTTCGAATTTTGGGTGAGATAAAAGAACAGCCAGAGGTAGAGAGCACACGCAGGGGCAGGGGGGAAGGGGGCGGGGGGACCCACCATTGAGAACTACTTAGTCTATAAAGAATTTGTATCGTAAACCAAATGAGCAACACACACACACGGATTAATGAAAAATTCAAATAAAATGGAAATAAGATATACCGTGCATGTTTTTCGCAGCTTTGGTCAACACACGGGTGGGCCATATGGGAATGGCTAATAAAAATACTTCTCAAGGTAAGACGTCCAACGGTGAACCGTGTCCTCGGGAACCATGGGGGTGTATCATCAGTATCATCACCTTTGACGTGATGAATATCTCAATCTCCCCACGCTATTTATTCCCCCCCGATTCAAATTAAAAAGAATTTGCGCAAAATGGCTTTTTGTCTCAATATTTTCATTCGGAAATTCAAGAGTATGATTTTGCTATGTAATTTAACATTAGTAAATTTGATTTAACAATTTAGTCATGATTCACAACGGAATTAACGGCAATAATTTTATTATTGATAAGTGATTTGATAATTATGAATTCATAATTGGTGCATATTTCTTCATTTTTCATTGTTCGAATTTTCTGGTGATTTGAGTGTTTAATTTAAAATGATTAAGTTTGATTCAACAATTTAATCATTAATAATAATGGAATTAGCGATAATTATTTAATTATTCATGAGTGCTTTAATAAGTCTGGATTACTAAATTTGGGAATTCATAGTGAATTGTGGTTTTGTCATTTATAAGACAAACTTAATGGTTGGAAGCTAATCTTCATGGAATTCTTCAACGGATTAACATTTATACAAATCTAAAAACATCCAAGTATTTAGTGGAAATTAAAAATTATAATAACTTTCTCCATCGGGAAGCCAAAAATCGGCGTTCAATATTTTTTATATAAACTGAATATCTTTATTCCTTCAATCAACAACTAAATTTTATTTCCCTTCCCTGAATTTTTGAAATTTTTCGATTTTGTTGATTGAACATTGGACAATTAAAAAAAGCGTTTTAATTAAAATATATTATTTATTGTCGACATGTCCCGTGGACCCAAAACACCCAGCGGGCACACGTCGTATAACGCAACAGACAACACGCTGTTTTTCTCAAAACGAGAGAGAGAGAGAGGATTTTCGGAGGGGAGGCCCCGAATTATTTACGATGGCCCGTGCCTCACGCTGGCTGGCCTATAAAAAATCGAAATAAAGACTGAGAAAGAGAGAGACAGAGAGAGAGAGAGAGAGAAAAAATGTTAAAATAAAAGGTGGTCATCGGGGCGATTTTACGAGCCACCAATGAAGCATAATCGCACATTGTCGTCTTTATGGTGGCCCATTGGAATGGTGAAAAGACACCTGGGGGGAGGGAATCAGGAAGAGAAAAAATCGAAAATGAGATGTAACGACGAAAGAGTGGGATTCAAGGTCGAAAACGCCAGGTGGTGAGTTTCTTACCGAACAGTAGGCGAAATTACGGCTTTCGGGGGAAGAGGACACGGTGGAAATTTTGGAAACCCCCCCTCTCGTATCCCGGGAGGCTGGAGATGTATTTCTCGGTTGAACACCGGGAGGTCTAGGCTCTCTCTCTCTCCCTCTGGGGATTTTCATCTCAGATGTAGCTGTTGTCACACTGGTTTGCCTGTCATCACTTTTTTTAAGATTTACAATGGCTCCATCGCATTAAACGGTCTTTTGGAGATTCTTTATTTTTTTCGTTGAGAGAATTTTCAATATTTTTGAATAATTTTATTTTGTAATTCCAATTTATTATTTTTATTCATTTTTTTTTCAAAATTATTAAACTAAATTTAGATGATTAATTAATTAAGGATATCCCCGTATTTTTTACAGTTCAATTTTAGATTTGATTGTCAATTAAATTGCGTGAAAAAAATATTTAAAAAACATGAATATTCAGCGTCATTAAAATTCCATTTTTCACAGAATTATTATTGTTTTTATTGTTTATAATTTAAAAAATTGAAATTTCTAAGTTATTTCATCAATCTTCCTCCAAAATTCTTAAACATAATTTTCAACATTTTAGAACGATTTCATTTTGCAATTAGAAATTACTATTTTTATTCCCAAATTATTAAATTAAATTCAATGATTCAATTATTAATAACAATAAAATTGATAATAATAAATAATAATTGATAGAATAATCAATTAATTCGCAAAAAAACAAAATATTTAAAAAATGTAATATTGAAATTTAACACTCCAATAATTAATAATAATAATATTGATAATGAAAATAATTCAATAAAATAATTGAATGGACCCGAAAAAATGGATTAAAAATGTTGAAAAATTCCGAAATTAATGTTCCCCAATACTGGCCCTCGCCGAATTCCCAATATCAATAATATAATTATATTAATCGAATGTGAATCTGAAACAGACCGTAATATTAAAATTTTCTCTCGCTCGTATGAATTTTTCATGGCCTCCTTCCACCTGTCCCGTCGGCTCAGTATCCCCGGGGCTACGATCGATGCCCACAGATAGACCCACCGTATCCTCCTAAAAGAGTGGCCCTGATGACGCGAATGACTCTGACCCCCGTAGGAGTCACCATACACACTCACAATCCCCATGTGTCACAAAGCGTGAGTCAAAAAAATCTTCCTCTTCATCCTCACTCGTATCAACTACTCATTCAATATTCGGGTATCGTCTTTCGCCCCACGACGGAGACCCGGGAATAAATGTGCCGGAGTAAAGGTTTTAATTAGGTGAACATATTGCTACTAATATACCCCAATGGGATGACATATAGAGTGGGCCCACGAATCTGTTCGGGCTACCATAGAGGCACCTCGACCCGACAGCTCATTCGCTTCTCTTTTTTATTTCAGCTCGGATGAGTCGAGGGGGGGGCTGTATCGATGAGGGGAATTGGCTGTCCCCTGATTTAGTTGTTGAGCTCGATCATCCGGAATCGATACTCCACAGCGGGCTCGACGTCTCTTACAAGCAGTTTGAATTAATGTTCGGTGATTCCTGCTTCGTTGATCATTGGTATTTCGTGATATGAAAATTGGCAGGAATGCATTGAATAAAAAAATGAGACGAAAGATTGCTGGATAATTTAGGGGATTGGAGAGAAAAATTGTCGGGGATTTTCACTCGAAATCATGCGAGTCAAAAATTTATTTCAAAAAATATGTAATATGTGCCAATTCCATATATTTTTCGAATTTATAAATAATACATAAAAAATATATAGAAAACATATATTTCACATATTTTTTATATTTTATATATTTCAAAAATAAAGAACAATATAAAAAATATAAACTTATTTTCATAAATTTTTCCATGTGGGCGAGGGGAAAATTATGAATTTTTCGTTTGGTAACGGAATTTTTGGCGAACCAACAATAAAATTTTAGTTTTTGATGATGAAATATCATTTCACGCTGAGAAGGTTTTTATTTTCAAACGTATAGATTCAGAAATTTTGATTATTAATTTTTTGTTAATTAAATTGCGTGGGGAAAATTTGAATGAATTACATTTTGCGAAAAAATGATTTTTCGGATTTGTAAATAAATGATGGATGTTGTTTAAACTTTGGAAAACTTTATTTTTGATAATTAATTTACAGTCCACCTAGTAGGACAAATTTTTATTTTATTTATTCATAAGAGAAGAATTGTTTTCAAATATATAGATTCGGAGATTTTAATTATCAATTGTTTATAAATTAAATGGCCTGGAAAAATTCTGAAGGTCAACTGCGTTAAAAAATTATCAAATTAATAAAATATGAAGAGGAAAATGCCCTACCTCTCAACAGAACTTTTCGCAAAGATCTTCTGACAGTCGTGCAGTTCCACCTGCGATTCCTGAATTGATGCTGACACTCCCTCGTGCCCACCTGAACCCCCTTGGATATTTCCTTGAGTAATGAAGGCTCTTTCCTGCAGATATCGGCGAGTTTTCCCCTCAATCTTCTTGTTTTCTTGCACACCAGGAGTGGATCCATGACTACCTGGCTTCCCACAGTCCTGTAGCAATAGCAAAAATCTAAATCATCAGCATCCTGGCGCTATTTTCCCGAGATGATTCACACGAAAGTGAAATTATACTAATTACAATAAAAAATGAAGAAAAATGAATTAACACTAAACGTAAAAATTGTCAACATCCTAAAGCAATTACACATTCTTCACATTCGATAAATATCAAAACAGCAAAATTTTTGCAATGGCAAATAAAAAATCAATCGTGTTTGAACAAATTATAAGAAAATAAATCATTACAAAAAATTTAAATTAATAATTATTGATCGTTTCTGGAATTAAAAATGTTTTATAATTCTAAACATCTTGGACATCATAAAATCTGTAAAAAGACCGAAAAATAAATAAACAAATGAATACAAAGCGTAAAAATTATCAACAATTGTCAAAGCATTTACGCATTCTTTACAGTCCATAAACATCTAAACAACGAAAGTGTCCCCATAAGAAAAGAAAAATTAGTCGTATTTAAAAAAATTATAAACACATAAATCATAAAGAAAAATTGAATAAATAATTATTCATCATCTTTTGAATTAATAATGTTTTATGATTTTGATGATCTCGAATATCATAAAATCCGTGAGAACAACGAAAAAAATGAACAATTAAATAAAATTAAATCAAAATCCACCAAAAATCTCCCGAAAGCAAATAAAAAATGAGTCGTTTTCGAACAATCATCTATAATTTTTAACATTAAAAATGTCTCATGATCTTGAACAATTCGCACGGTCCAAATGACAACTAATTGTTAAAAAAATAAAATAAACAAAACCGAATAAAAAGAGTGCAGTTGGAGGGCATGAATCAAGACGGACAACGGATCCAAGAATGTGTAGAAAAGGCACGAGACGTTGCATTGAGTGAAGAGGAATGAGTCGCGGCCATGAGCGGGGTGAGGGGGAGGAGGGGATGACCGAAGGGAGAGAGGATACATCAGCGAGAACACGCCATCGCCATTACGATAATTAAAGCTCGTGGGCCCATTACGCACGTACTCTCCCAGCCCGTATAACGGAGACGAAAGAGACGACGACGACGACGACGGGGCTGGGAGTCCCCTAGTCTCTCCACCAATAAACGAAAGAAGGTGGAAAGATCCGAATGATGGAAAAGAGTGCACGATGCAGTTCAACTTGAGAGGCTGAATAAAATGAGAGGGAAAAATGAATATTGAGAGAAAAAAGAATTGTGAAACGACACTCTCTTTCCACTTCTCGGGGGGAGAGAGAGAGAGAGAGAGAGGGAGAGACTGTCCAGCCATCGTATGGCCACGACCTTCGTTACGAAACGTTAATTAAGGTGGGATATAACCCATACAGACAAGCACTTGTGGCGAGGCCTGATGGGAATGCGCAACGCGTTAATGGCAACAGGCGCAATGCCAGTTGTATAAATGGAATAAAAAAAGGGGGAGGGAATTAGAGGGACTGGGTACCTTCGGGGACAATGAGAGAAAATTTTCAAGTGAAAAAATGTTTTTTCAATTATTATTAAGTAATCATTTTTATAATAAGTTGATAATGAATAATATGTTTTTTCATTCTGAAGTATTTGCAGTCATCATTTTTTATTGTTTTTTCTATTATTATAAAGCTCATTATTTAGATGTTATGAATTTTTTTTGTTTAATAAAAAAACAGGAATACAATTTCTGCTTTTTTTCTATGTCTATCAGACAAATAAAGTAGAGGGACTGGGTATTTTCAGGGGGAATGAGAGAAAATGTTCAATGTGAAAAACATTTTTTTAATTATTATTAAATAATACTTTTTATGATGAATTATTTGAATTCATCTTTTTTTATTGTTTATTTTTTTAAATTATTATAAACCCCATTATGTAGATATTATGAACAATTATTATTTTTAATTGAAAATTATTTGCATTCACAATTTTTTAAATTGTTTTATATAAACAATCGAGCATACGAATTTTGCATTTATTTTCTGTTTATTAGAAAAATGAATATTATTTTTAAAAAGTTGTTGCTAAATTCTTGATTATGAGATAATTGTTTGTTTATTCATGTTACACACGTATTGTGTTTAGTCTGTCAAGATGAGCCACGAGATTTTCAAAAAAAAATGAAGATATTTGTGATGATAAATTAAAAGAGCGCGTGTATTTAATTTATGACCTGGTGCGAGAGCTGGGTCGTTTGAAGAGGCCTATTTCAAAACTGACCCGGACAAGTGCGGAGAAATAAACTCGGTGGAAATTTTGGAAACACACGCGCCGGGGATAGCACGTGAGTTTTGAAATTTCAGTGTTTACGGAGTGGTTAACAAAATAATACAGAATTATTGTTTCCTGGAAATTTTCGGAGGAAATGGTTTCCCGTGAATTCCATTTGCGTTGAGAGTGGTTTAGTGGGATGTCAGTGTCGCATTTTCGAGGGCGACAGGTGGAACACAGATTACGGGGTCTATTTATGACTATCCCCTTGTTTTTCGATGAACAAAAAAATTTTAGAGTGAACGAAAATTTGTTCTCGGACCAAACATCGATATAATTCCATTGACAGGACAGAAAAATTTTATGTGAAATCAACGAAAAGGCGATCCGTTTTGCCTCAAAACATTGCGAACACAAAAATTATCGAATTAAAAGTATTTCATCTGCATCAAAAGAACTAATAGGGCAAAGTGGATTGTCTTATACACCTTCTAATGCCGTCAAATTCTCAATTTTAATTTTTTTTTACATTTACATAATTTAAAAAATTAACAATTAACTATTATTATATTTTACTGAAAAATATTATTATTATTATTTCAAATAATTGATCTTTCCGATTTATCATTCTCATACTTCATAATTAAACCTCAATTATTATTATTACAGGTATATATATATATATTTTTTATTTTTATTTTTTTATTTTTTTATTAAAAAAAATTAATTTTTAAATTGTTTTCAAGAACAAGTGGATAATCTTGCTTTTAAAAATTTACTCTCGTTTCAAAAATCGATGTAATTCCACTGGTAGAACAGAAAAATTTCATACGAAATAAGAGAAAAAAATGACCCGTTTTGCCCCAAAACATTGTAAAAACTAAAATTTTCGTTTTGAAACTTCTTCATTCGCGTCAGAAGACTTAATAGGGCACAACGGGTTATCTGTAAAATTTGTCAATTTCGTCACATTCTCAATTTTTATTCAAACAAATGATTTTTTTGAATTGTATTTAACATAAAATGGATGACCTTGCTCCTGTCATCGATTATGACAAGTCGATAGGTCAAGAACACAGGGAATGCGCCTGAAAGTCAAGTCCCACCGAAACAATCAAACAGGGGGCTGTCCAAAGAGAGAAAAACCACCCAACAAGAAAGGGAATAAACCCCGAAACCCGAGAGCTGAGGAATATAGCCCGAGAATTCTCTCCGTATCAAAGAAAGACCCAGAGAAAGATAAATACACGATCTTGAGAGTATGCGAGGAGAAACGAAAAAGAAAACTGTACTGATGCCACTCTACCTCCCGTTTTACCCCTCCCCCTCCCGGTGCCCAGTTAGGGCGGTCGACTTATTTATTGCCTCATTAGATGCACTCACTTTGCTCCAAAAAGTCCTGCTCCACGCTGTCTGCTTGGATAGACAGTGACGAGAGCACCTCTTCCGAATTTATTTTTCGTTTTCACACGTTCGAAAAAATTTTATACTGCAATTAATGAAAATTTAGGGATTTCGTGAATTTAAAATCAACTGAATGAGGGGATTAATTAATTTTTCCTTTCTTTTTCATAACAAAAAATTAAACTTGTCTTCCAATTTGTTTAAATAACTTGTTCTTAATAATGTAAAAAAATATGACAATAACACAATAACTTTCAATATTAATACGCATAATGATGATAATGATGATAAACGTAATAAAAAAAATGGAATAATGAAAAAAAAAAAATTTCCAACTTGTTTTTTGTTTTCTCAGATTAAACAAAAATTAATTCTATATTTAATAAAAATTTAAAAGATTTCGTAAATTTAAAATCAATTGAATGAGTTGATTAATTAATTTTTTCAAATAACTTGTTCCCAATAATAATAATATTAGGCATGACATAATTTCTAATTAAATAATTTTTTTATATAGCACAATGCAAATCTAATTTTTTCTCCTTCATAACTATAATAAAATGTCAAAAACACAACAATAAAACAATTAATTTCCCTATTCATAATCACAATATAATTCTCAATATAAAAATTCCAGAGTGTAATAATGAAAATTAAATAAAAAATTTAATAATTCATTGGTAATTAGACTCAAGCCACTGGAATTTCAGCGATACTCTGAAGAATCTGCCGAGTCAACAGTGCGTCAATGCACCCATGACTCACAAAAAACCACAATTTTTTGCACCGAAAAAAAAAAACACCCGAGAATAAAAAACAAGAAAGAAATGAGGGAGCCAGGATCGCGGGGTCACAGGTGTTCTCCCTCTCGTATCGCCAGCGAGCATAAATTTGAATTATCACGCTGGCCATTGGCAACACCGTGTCCATGACGAATTCCTCCCCATACGTATTAGTACACCTCGTGTGCAATAACAGTCGAGGGGTAAATCGAAAAAAAAATGAGGGGAACAAAAATCAAGAGAAATGTGTAATGGAAATAAATACCTGAGGGAAACAGTAACAGTGGGGTTAAGTAATAATATATTAAAGAATAAACTCATGATTTTAAATAGACTTTCGTGTGACCCCGTGACACCCACTCCCCCCTTTTCACTGCAACCCCATGCGTTACTGAGTAACCGTGTCATTGCCATTACGAGGCACCAATTTGACGGTATATTTTGACCCAATAAAAGTCAGGAGAGCCATATATTTATCATAAATAGTGTTTGCGAGGGTGAAATCATCCAGACAAAGAGAAAATTAATGCACTGGATTGAAATGATTATTGATGCATTCATTTTGAGGAGAAAATGGGGGAAAAAGTGCTCAAAAATTCAAGAAAATTATTCATTTGAAATAGTATAATAAAATCTCTGCGTAATAAATGCGTTTTGGTGGGGAATTCTTTGAATTTTTGTTTTACTTGAAGAAAACAAAATACAGAATGAAATAAAAGATGTAAATATGATGACGAGCCGCCGTATAATGTAATATTAATATTTTTTAGGTAATTAGCAAACATTTGAAATTTTCCAGCCTTCAAGGGAAACCAAAATTTTTTAATTAGGATTTGTCATTGCATATTATGAGAAATGAGACAATTAATTGAAGAAATCTTGAATGGAAATTCATGGACTGGAAAATTAATGGGAAAATATTTGAAAAAAACTTTTATACGGAGCAAAAGTTGGGAAAAAGTTCAATAAATTTGCTAATTTAAAATACTGTAGAATATCCTCTGCATAAAAAATGCCTCTTAATAGTGAATTTCTCAAATTATGATATTTTTTATAAAGACGAGAAAATGAAATGAAAGATAAATTGCGATAAATTATGAAATTTTTTCAGACTTGAAAAAAAAACGCAAAGATCATTTCGAAGTAATAATTCGTCATTAAAAATTCTCAGCAACAATGCAATTAATTGAAGCAATTTTCAATGAATTCGCCAATGAAGTGAATGAGAAAAAAAAATTGAAAATATTTTCCAGACATTAAAAAAAACGTAAAAAATGAATAAATAAAGCAGGCGAAGGGGGGTCGACGCGGGAGCCTCTGTCGACTTACAAATTATACGCGCTCAACGAGATTTACGGTGACGCCAGAGCGAGCACCATTGTCCGTCCTCGCTCACTTCTTTAACTCCTTCAAGCCGTAGGTCCTGGGGACACACGAGAGATGCTCTTGGGCCACGTCGTCTTCGCGTCGTCTCGCTTCCCATCTTTATTTTTTCATTTTTTACAAAATTTTTTTTCAAACCCCCCCTCCACCTCCCCCTGTCCCACCCCAGTGGCCTCACATACCCACTCACTGTCACCGATTTTCTTCGTTCTTTCCTTTACCCCGAACTTCTTGCACAATCTCTGTCGCTGTTGAGCGCCCATTGATTTAGCCAGTTGCATCTCTCTTTGGTCCACTTTTATGGACAGAGAATTGGACAGACGGTTAGGAGTGTGTTGTCCAGATCTCTCAAATGGGGTAAAAAACCCGGGAATGCGCATGGGTTTCTGCCGACGATCCCAGAATTCAGACGATTCTCGGCTCAAACTGCAATCATTCCCATGAGGGACGAGAGGAATAATCGCGCGGTATGAAGGGACCCAAATTTTGCGACTCCAAACACGAGACATTCTGGCAATTAAATGAAATGGGGAAAATTGTTATTACGGACTGATGGGGGGGAGAGAGTTTGGAAGGACTCATGCTGACGAATTCCGAGATATTTAATTGAGTGGAGAGAATTTTTCATTTTTTCCCCTTGGATTTACGATTTTTTGGTTGAGAATGAGGGCAAATGGATACTTTAGACTTTTTATCGAATGTTAATAGTTTATTCAATTGTTGATGAAATTCAATGATTTTTTAGTCCGTAGAGAGTGTACTTTTTTCTCTTTGTAATGAGCCCAGAGTGAGATCAATCAAGGGATTTATTCGCAAGTTGTGAATATTGAAAGAAATGTCTGAAGGGTCCGTTTTACCTCACCTTCTTCTATATCAGACTCATTTATTTGTGAGAAGCTTGTTCTTACACTCATAAATGCATTATAAAAATGGATGATACGTAAAAAAATTGTTCAATGATAAAAACAAAAATTAATGAATAACAGTTACAATACACCTAATTGTTGGAAGATAGGGGAAGCATTGTACATAGATTTTGTAGAGGAGAGAACAATTCTCCTGAGTTATTAAAAAAATTTGAGGATTTTCGAAAAAACTGAGGAATTTCCTAAATCGTTCATAAAAAAACTACTGATCGAAATGAAATATTTAATGTTTGAGGCAATAAAATTTCTGGAATTTCGAACGAATTTGATGATCTGTTTATAACAAGCAAATCTTTACAAAATAATAATTTTTATAAGAAATAATTTAAAAAGCACAAATTAATTTGAAATCCATAAATTAAAAAAAAAATTATGACGAAATTTCATCAAAAATAGTAATTAAGAATCTCTAATTGTTAATTTTCTATTTATCATTCGACTCGGATCAATATGAGTAGAAACATAAAGACTACAATTAACCCATTTCTAAATTGCAGGAATCGATCATCAAATTTCAGTGATGGAAAAATTATACGCAATACACAGCAAAAACGAATGTTCGAATTCCACACACCTTTTGTAGACGTTATTTTGCGGACACTAAACGTCTGAATAAAATGAAAATGTTTTTCTGAATTTCAGACGAGCAGGTGCCCAAATATCTTCATTTATGTTTAAAATTCAGACAAATTTTCATTTCCTTCAGACGTTTTTTAGTGCATGAAAAATGTCTACAAAAGGTGTGTGAAATCCAAACATTCGTTTTTGCTGTGGATCTACTGAGTATTGAGCAATTAATCACGTTCACTGGGATAATTTTGTATAGAATGCAGGGTAAATTTAACGTTTTCGGCACAAATTACCCTCACGTTCAACAAATGTTCCCGACACTACGGACAAAAATTCGATCACCTCCAATGAACAAAAAGCGAATTAATTCCGATCGAGTGAATCGACTCGCGGGGCTAATCGGCAGAAACTATCTCTCCAAATCGGAAAAATTGCACTCTGAACGGGATGTTCAGCCGGGCTCACCCATGCCAGTGACGTTACCGATAACACGTACAACATTTTCGTTCTTCTATCTTCGTACAAACATTTACATACCAAACGGCAGTACCTTGGGTCATGAAAATTATTTACGACACAGACAACCATGTAGAGATAGAGATATACGTTGCCCACTTAGCTGTTGGCAAAATGCGCAGAGTAATATCTCGCTGAACTGCACCAAACGTCTTCATGCGTATCACCGACTAGCATTTGTTCGCATTCCCAATTGTCAAAATAGTCTCAAAATTCATAACAATCTCTCTTGTTAAAATAATTGATCAGAAAAATCTCGATTTCATGTGACAATTGAAATCTACCCTTTTTGCCCCAGAGACGTAGCAAAAAATAATTTTGAAAAAATTAAATTTCATCTTCATCTCTACTTGAAAAAATACCGGGGCAAAAAGGGGCATTTTATTTTATTTTAACGAGAGCAATTGTTATTACGAAATTTCGAAGAGAAATAATTTTTTTCCTTGAATAAACGATATGGAATAATTTTGACGCAAGGCTAAATGTCAGTGCAGGAGTGATACATTTCACCTCTCGCCATAATCTCCGGATTGTTTACACTGGCCCTTAACTAGCTGACGGTGAATAACACCTAAAGCCACGTATGGATCACTCCGTGAGGTAAAAGTTTAACTCGAATGTGGAGTGCTGTTGCAACCCAGGCAACAGATGTGACGTTCTGTTTGTTTTAATCTCGCAGTTTTATGGCTGTCACGTGTGCAAGAGGTTACCCGGGTATCTTTTCACTTGAAAACATATATGAGGGAAATTTCTGGAGAAAACCGAGGGGAGGAGTAAAATCAAGTCAAAATCAACGCAAAATTATGTCGATAAACAAATCAAAAAACGAAAATTATTAACCGGTGGGGGGTGGGGATTATGGCATATGAAAGCCGGGAATATTTCCGATCCAAAAACAATATGGCGACCTTTTTTAAACGAATATTTCCGGAGATACCTGCAAAATATTTTTTTTCTTAATTGACAAAAACATTATTTTTCACTCTCTTTCCTACTGAATTATCTCGGCACTGAGTGGTCTCACGAAAAAACGTCCCCAAACATTTTTTGTCGGAAATTTCCTCAGCTATAAAAAATGTCTTGTGACATTTCCTCCTAAAACCACTCGATCTCCAGATAAATCCAATATTCTAACAAGTGGTGCCGAATCACTGACAAAATTCGATTTTCCTTTGTATACTAACTGTCGATTTTATTCGTCAAAAATTATTGTTTTATTTGTTTCCAATCGGAACAACCCTCCGGGGCATCCCCCCTCCCCCCTATTATCTATCGGATCTACTTACCAGAATGAGCCAGTGATGGGAGTGACAAGCAGGAGGCAAATAGCCACCAGAACGGGGCGCATCTCCATGCACACCACCCACCGCGAAAAATCGAAACACTTCCCCCGTAAAAGTCTCACCGATTCCCCACAATTCCACAGTTCCCAACACACCCCGAAAAATGGTCAAAATCCATAAAATCAGAGCTTATCAAAGACTCGCCCGAAAACCGGGGCACGCTTCCTGAACGCGTTTTCGAGTAACACTGAGAAGCCACAGTTTATACACATGAACGAACGGGTATCCCAACGTTGTCTACTGGTGTAACAGAGACTGGTTGGTCTGATCCCGGTGCCGGCATAATTACACCGAGCATCACTCCCCAATAAACGACAATAAAAATCCCCCTGACGCTAGACAACCGACCAAAATCACCCAAAAACCCCGAAAAACTCCATCTGTCATGTTAATGACAGGGCTTTCCGTGGGCTTTCCCCCCCAAAATCGTAAAACCCAAAACAAGTAGAAAATTGCTACGAATGTCAGACACTTGGCACCACTTCCGGTCCGTATTTTTCCAGTTCCTCCCGCCCCTCCAGCTTCCCTCCCCCCACTTTTCCACCTCCCACCCTCCCCCACTGCCGTACAATGTCCCCTCAAATTTCCGTTTCCCCGATTTTCCCTCAATTCCTCAATTTCCAAAGACAAAACCCCAATTTTTCCAATCAATCCGCTGATTTCTCCCTCACTCTTCACAATTCCGCAGTCATTCACACAAGATTTCTTCCGCCGGTCGCCACAAAAACGCGTCGCGCCAGCCTTCCTACCGCCACTACGTCACTGTGATCTTTGAATCTTCCTCTACCCCCACCAACAAATTTGTTACCACCGTGAAATAGTCACAGGGGCGAGTTGTGGATTATAATGAAAAAAAAAGGGGGCCAACTGTAATACACATGGAGGCATTGAGACGCGCCCGAGTGGGTTTGAAATACACGGGCTATCCTATTCCCCACAGTGTTACTGAGAGAAAGGGAATCATCTTTCTCCCACCATCTTTGTACCAGGTATACTGGTGAACCGCGGAGGAGAGATCCGTTGCCACCTCCTTCGTGCTTTGGTTCTTACCACCACCACCACTTTTACATCACTCAACGTATTACAACCTCCACCTACTTTTCAACTAATTTCAACAACAATTTTTTAATAATTAACTAATCAATTTTTTATCAAAATCAAAATAATACTTTTTTATGTTATTGATTTCAATTTAACACCACCACCACCACCAACAACAACAACAGCAACAACAACAACAACAACAACAACAACAATAATAATAATAATAATAATGAGGAATAGAAATGAAGAATGAAAATTCTAAAAATAAAAAAAAAAGAATCTTTTCAATTATGAATAATAATGATTGAATTAAAAAACTGAAATTCTCATTAAAATTGAAAAGTACATAGTGCTATTATACCACGAACCCATGACCCCCAGCATCGCGATAGTAACAAATAAAACCGAGAGGAACATATAGGAAATGAGAAAGATAAAGAGAGCTGAGGTGAGTGGAAAAGGAACAGCGGGAGTCCGTATTACAGCTCATTTAGCAGCAGGATCCTTGTGCTCCTCTCATGCGACTATAGCCCTTTCTCAATGCCCTCTCTTCCCAGGGGCACTAACTGAAAAACAGGTCCCAGGACCTACCCAGAGATGTCGACGTGAATTTCGGGGGATATCCTGCTGACTGTGTTCTCATAATCATCGGTGTATTATAATATCATTTTTCGTTTTTTACGATTTTTTTTTTAGAGTGGAGGGTCTGGAGGCATCGATTATTGGTGTGGTGAATTGAGCGATGGATTTCTAACGGGTGAAATATGGGGGGAATTGAGAATGGTGAATTGACAAATTGGAGGTGATTTTTTTTGAGGAATTATTCTTTTTAGGTTGAGGTGACAATGGTGGTGTCATTGGGTGAATTCTTTTGGGGGTGATTAACATATGGGTACCTCGGGGTTTTTGGTACATTCGTCACGTTCTCGTTGAGTGATTTGAGGAATTACGAGGTTAAAAATGAGTTTATTATTCTGGAGAGAAAATTGAAAAATGTCTCTGGTTGTTGGAAGATGAATTGCACTTCTTGAATTTATTAAAAGGTGAAGATGTGAAAAATGGGAGAGAAAATCGTTTCTTCTCTGTGACCGCTGCGAACCGCTAATCGATTTTTGCATGACCACTTCTGCTTGCCTTTCACAGAATTAAGAAGTCTTTATTACAAGTCTACGACGGCGGCATGACGGGTCCAAAACCGATAAAAAAAATTCGCATTCTCTGACCGCCCCAAAACTTTTGCTGAACCGTTGGGGGAACGGTACAGAACTGTTAGAACCGCTGCAAAATTTACCTAAAAACTGTTTCTCTATCTGCAAGCATCAGGCATGTGATAAATTTCATCATAACTTTGCAACCGCTGCGATACCGTTGCTCGACCGCTCCCCAACCGCTGCAAAATTTCCGCAAAAATGGTTTTCCGTCCCCTTCCTACATATTATAAATTCAATCTCACCTCTCTAACCGCTGGAAAACCGCTGCCCATAAATTTCCAACTTCTCAATAAACCTAAAATCATCACCGCCCAAAAATTCTCGTTTTACGAAGCAAAACTAATGTCAAAACGTCTAAACAGAAAAAAACCCCTAAAAAACCCAATTGTGACCACAAATTGATCATAAAGGACGGTTCTAACCCGAGAAATTAACGAAAAAATGTTGAAGGGCGTTAGGCGGACCAACACAGACACAGAATGGATGGTAATTTATGGGTGAGACTAATTATCGGGGAATGCAGCCTCCTCCAACTTCTTCTCTTCTCCTTTTTTCTCCCTCGTGAGTATATTCTACTCGACGCAGCACTCTCAAGCACACGTCCAACGTAACATCCAGTTTCCAGTCGTTCCACAACGATCCCACCCTCGCCCCCTTTTATCCCCCATTGGCAAGCCTCCCCTCCTCACTCTCCCCCTCTCTCCTCCCACTTCATTCCACCACTCTCAACATCCTCCACCACCTTCAACGACCTCATGTCTCATATATTCAACGGCAACCCCAGCAATCTTGATAACGTTTGATCCAGCCGGTTGATACTCGAACCGTCAACGTTTGGATTCTTATCTTGAAAAATCATCGTATCGAGATACTCACTCTCTACTGATATAGATAAAACTGGTTATAATATAATGGATACAACGTATACCATTTTTAGATCTCAATCGGAATCGCTAGATGTGTTATTGAGAGGAATATTGTGATCGTGATATCAAAATAATCATTCCCTATGTTTTCTGTTTCATGCGATTGCTTGACGTTTAGTTTTTGAATTGATCATTTCCGGTTGGCTCGGACGCTCTTTAGAAATGCAAATTGCATGCATCAATTTCGCTATGAGCAAATGATTGTTTTTCAAAGTGTTTTATTTTTAAAACTTGTAAAAAAAAAATTGTATCTTACCTTGGAGAATGAGCTTCAGAAAATTCTCAGAGTTGATGGTGCTCACTGTTGGGGGTTGAAAATAGTGTGATGCAAGCCCAAGCATCATCTATTACTCAAACATTGACTGATTATGCACCTCCCCCAACTATTCGTATTTTTCTTAATTTAATTCCTCCATTTTTTTTCAACTCGCTCTCCTCCAAATGCCATTTATATGTTTCACTTGGACACGGGTCCGACGGTGTGAATTGTAAATTCCGCTGGAGAACCTGCTCCGTGCGAATCGCCAGGGGAAGACGAAAGTAGGATTGAATAAAATAAAAAAGTCACCGGGGGAGAGGGGGGGGG